TTGCAACATATAATCAAAGTACATTGTTTGTATTTATATCATTCATGCATATAGTGTAAAAATGAATGCTCCCAAAAAGGTCCTTATCACTCCAACCTAACCCATCCTTGAACGTCTAATCTCACTAGTGAATGTATGTCAATTTTCCAATTTTAAGGAAAATCCGGCAGCATTTCGCCCCAGTTCTCCAAGTACACAATGTAGGTAAATAATTACCTACATATGCACCCGGAGAACATGGAGACGAAATGCTAAGCCGAGATATTCCTTAAAATCGAAAAAGAGACATACATTTACTACCTAAGTGAGATTAAACGTCCAAGAACAGTCCCAACCGGGGACTATTCAAGTCTTCCTCCTAATGAGAAAGACTTGAACGGGTATCTAGGCAAATGATGATGCAAGCATTCAAAAATTTCCATTTGTTTGACATTTAACAAAACACAAGTTCATTCATTCATACAATGCTATTTGGACTACCTACAAGCAAACTAATCTTACCTTCAATCCATTCATTAATTCATTACTTTTTAGCTACTCAAATTAAAACAACTTATAACATTATACAATTAAGGTGAGAATTAACATTTTGTATACAAATAATTCATATATTAATAAACATAAAATTTGATTAACTAAAATTGAAACCCTAAAATTTGGGAAATTATTAACAACATATAAGTAATGAATTTAAATTAAGCATGAACTCACCCAAAAATATGGAATGTGGGGTAAGAGGGAGAGGTGTGGTGGCCTGGTGGTGCGTGTGAAGGTGAGATGGGGGAGCACGCAGAGGGTCGCAGCAGGGGCAGCAGGCAGAGCGACGCAGCAGCACAACCCTATGGTAGTAATGGAGGTAGCAAGGGCAGCATGCAGAGGGACGCAGCAGCACCACCCTAAGGTGGTTGTGGTGGTGAAAGCAGGCGCATCAACCTCTTTTCCTAACAACACTCAATGAAAGAAACGAATGGTTGTGGTGGTGAAAGTAGGCAGCAAGGTTGTTGTTGTGGTGGGTAAGCACGACAATTGTGGTGTGGGATGCTGTGTGATGGTGGGTGAAAGTGAAGGAGGGAGCGAATTGAGTTGAAGGAGGTGTACTCTGCAATTGAAAGCAGTCACGAAGGAAATGAAGGAGGGAAAAAAGGAGGGAACGAAGGAAATAATAAGAATCAGGTTTTTTTTTTTAAAAAAGAGAAGCGGTTTGAACCGCTTCTAATTACCTTTTAGAAGCGGTACAAACCGAACCGCTTCCAATTCTCCTCTTGTTCTTTTTTTTTTAATCCCGGGTTTTTGTATGGAATTGGAAGCGGATTCCAATAACCGCTTCCAATTAGTGGCTTCCCATTACCTATTTTCTACTAGTGGGAAAGTCGACCCATCTGGCTGCCATAGTAAAGGTCAACACTTCCGCCAAGTCCCTTCACACGTCCTTTTTTGTTCCGACCACCCACTGTCTCCCAGTACAGCTCATTCGGACTCTTCTGAGTCCTTTGAGTGCTAGCCTCCTCAACCCTCTTTCGGTAGACCTCCTACAAGATAAACATATGAAAAGGAACAAACGAATTAGTAAGTTATATAAATAAGCTTTGGTTACCATATTCATGAAAAAATAAACCAAGTAACATGACATAGTTGACTTCTACTTAGCCCAATTACTTCATTTCTTAGGAAATGAGCTCTTTTTTGCCTCATTCCATATAAATTAAACATAGTTTTAGGAAATGAGCTCTTTTTTCTTGTAAAGTGCTTGAATTGACATAAAAAAAACAAAGTAACAAAGTTTTACGTACAATATTCATGAAAAACGCACCGAGTATGGCCTAAGTGACTTCTATGTTGCCCATTTTCTCTATTTCTTAGCTAATGTTCTCATTTCTCATCCAAACATGTCAAATGTACATAGTTTTAGGGGTCTAGGGCTTGAAATGCCAAGAAAAAACAACACATTAAGTTTTGGGAGCCATATTGATGAAAAACGCACCAAGTATGGCCTAAGTGACTTCTATGTTGCCCATTTTCTCTATTTCTTAGCTAATGTTCTCATTTATAATCCAAACATGTCAAATGTACATAGTTTTAGGAGTCTAGGGCTTAAAATGCCAATAAAAAACAACACATTAAGTTTTGGGAGCCATATTAATGAAAAACGTACCAAGTATGGCCTAAGTGACTTCTATGTTGCCCATTTTCTTTATTTCATAGCTAATGTTCTCATTTCTCATCTAAACATGTCAAATGTACATAGTTTTTAGGATTATAGGGCTTGAAATGCCAAGAAAAAACAACATATTAAGTTTTGGGAGCCACATTAATGAAAAACGCACCAAGTATGGCCTAAGTGACTTCTATGTTGCCCATTTTCTCTATTTCTTAGCTAATGTTCTCATTTCTCATCCAAACATGTCAAATGTACATAGTTTTAGGGGTCTAGGGCTTGAAATGCCAAAAAAAACAACACATTAAGTTTTGGGAGCCATATTGATGAAAAACGAACCAAGTATGGCCTATATGACCTATTCTTTGACCATTTCTTCATTTTCGACCAAATGAACTATTTCTTTCTCTAAACATGTCAATTATGGTTATTAAAAGTGGTAATGCCTTGAAATCACAAAAAACAACAAGTCCCTAAGGTTCGGGACGCATTTGGAGCGAAATTGAACCAACTATGGCCTATATGACCTATTCTTTGCCCATTTTCTTCATTTTCGACCAAATGAACTATTTCTTTCTCTAAAAATGTCAATTATGGTTATTCAAAGGGGTAAATTCCTTTAAATCACAGAAAACAACAAGTCCCTAAGGTTCGGGACGCATTTGGAGCGAAATTGAACCAACTATGGCCTATATGACCTATCTTTGCCCATTTTCTTCATTTTCGACCAAATGAACTATTTCTTTCTCTAAACATGTCAATTATAGGTAATCTAAGGGGTACATGCCTTGAAATCACAAAAACCAACAAGTCCCTAAGTTTTTAGTACCATATTCATGAATAATGATCCAATGAACTAAGTTTAGGGAATTTGTTACCGTAATTTCTTGAGCTGTGGGGTTTACTGCCACTGTGCCTTTCCCAGGAAGCTCCTTGAAGTGTGTCTTCAAAAACAGCTCAGGAGTTGTTGGCAGCTGGCCCTTGTTCTTCGCCGCCTTTGAGACAAAAAAATAGGAATAAACGTTAAACAAGTCACACCCTTGTTACGTTGAAATACACAAAAATGCCTTTTAATATAAGATCTTTTTAAATAAACTTACCATCCTTTTTGCATGTTGGACAGCTGACAACGAACCCTGAAAGTGGGTCCCTCGGACGGGATTTTCCATAGAACCGCCCCTTTTGTTCTTCTTGTTTTGCGCCGACCTCTCCTTGTAAGTTGGATCCGATGCAACAATGTTCATCATCTCCTTGTGGATCTCCTCACTCAGCCAACTTGGCTTGGCGCCATTCATCTGTGCGTGATGGTGTCAAACATGTCACGCAGGCGTGTTGCTACCCTCCTCCGAAATGTGAGCTTCACTAGCTCGTTCATCTGGGGTGCCCATCTGAATTGTGCCTGTAAATGATAAAATATAGAAGTTATACACAAAACTAAATCAATACAATATCTAAAACATGTATTAACCAAGACCCAAAAATATCATACGCTGAACAAGTTCCACCAGTGTTCCTTCGTAGCTGCAGGAACTTCTCCAAAGTTCCTCCAAGGGGCTCGGTAGTATCCACTAATCGTACCGGATACCGCACTCCAAACCTTAGGATCATCAAACCTATAACAAATGGGAAACAAAAATGTTAAACAAGTTTGAGAATAGTAATATAAGCCTTGTATCTCATCATCCATATCATGATATGTACATACCACAGCGTAGTAGAGTCCAAAAACAGGAGCTGTGACTCATCCTGTGACTCATCCCGTGGCCCATCTTCTGGAGGAGTGGATGGGCCCGTTTGATCCTCACCCAAATCGATGGTCTCCGCATCGAACATCTCCTCATCCCGGTCGTCGTTGAAAAGGGCGTGGGCGGTCATTTTCTCTTTCCCCTTTACTTTCTTCAACGATTGCCCACTTTTTCCACCCGCCATGACTACCTGAATCAGATGTTAGTAAAATGACAAGATATTATAAATAACAAGTGCAGTGCAACGTAATATGGCTTTTATACAAACACTGAAAAGTTTTACATAAGCCTAATTAATATTTTGATTTTACAATAAGAAGCATACTTTTATAGGAGATTAACATATTCTCCTACTCAGTACTCTCATCACTACTTTCACTACTAGAGTCATCACTACTATCATCTAATACTACATCGATGTCATCATCATCGTCACTATCACTAGAGTCGATACTAGATTCATCGTCTTCATCGCTTGAGATCACAAAGCCAATGTCATCGTCTTCATCATCATCATCCCTGGCGTAGTCTGGAATGTCATTCGGTGGGCAAAGCGTTGCATGTACTTTTGGGGATGGTGATTGCAGAAACTCTAAGTCCACCGGATCATCAACCACTGACCTTGCTTGTGTTTTAAACACAGACCACCATTGAACACGGTCCCGTTTCAGGCTAGGGTATGATGCGTAGTACACTTGAGCCACTTGGTAAGATAAGACAAATGGATCATATTTGGGGTATTTCTTAGTATGATTTACTTCGATTAGCCTGTATTGTTTGTGTATGTTCATTCCCCTACCACAATCCATCCAATTGCACTTAAACAAAATTGTCTTGTACTGTCTCTTGGGTCCCGTGTAGACAAGTTCGATTATGTCGTCTAAAATGCCGAAGTACTCTCCGCCATCCTCACTTGATACACACACACCATAATTCATGGTGGATTTGTGCTTGCCATGGACATGTGTATGGAAATTAAATCCACCTACAAAAAGTTGGCCCCAAGTACGAACTCGCCTGAAGGGACGCATGCACAACGCTCGCAGGACATTCGAATTTGACTTCTCTTAGACCACCTATAAAGTGGTTGAATATCAACATCACGGTTCCTGAATTCAATGAATTAAAATGCAAGATGTAAAATACATAATTATTTCACGGTTACACCGCATATATCACCTTGTGATGAAACCAATTAGAGAATTCAGCTTCGAAGTTCTCCATGACTTCTTCTCTACGCAGGAAAGGTCGAGTACTAAGAATGTAGTCCTCAAACTTCCTACGAGGCCAAACACACAATGTAAATCTACAAAGTCATCATTGTAAATGATTGTAAATACGAATACACTGAATACCTGGGCCTAATATACCTTTCGTATTCACCAAGAATGCCGGTGTTTCGTAACACGAACAAATGTGCACACTCGAGTTCTTTGTCATCTAAAAACTGAGTTTTACCCACATAAAAATTTATTTCTTTAGTTAAGAAAGGGAAAGAGAACGCCAGTAAGCCGGGACTAGTCCCTGTTACCACCTACTTTACAGAGGGTCGCGCGTAACCCCAAATGACCATAAATTTAACAGAATGTCCCTAGTGTGCACACCCCTCACTAATACCCATTGATTAGGAGGAAGACTAAACAGCAATATACGTTAATTTAAACCAACTAGTAGCAACCGTAACTAGTAGTGGGCAACCTGTTCTTCACCCTTTCGGATTTCATTTCCCTTCTTAATTTAATGTACATTTAATAGATTAAATTGTCCGATCACATCGCACACAAGTATTATTGCACAAATCAATTTAATCCCAAGTAACAATGTTTTAATTTCAGTATTATTAGAACATAGTCATTCAACATGACATACTAGTTACAACTCGTTTCCCAATAGGCCTTGGAGACCCACAAATAATCAATCATCCAATTCCCAAGATTTTAATTAAAAAAAAAAACAAACTTATACGATACCATTTAATCAAATTTTCGAAAATATTTATACTAGTACACAAATATAGAAAACTAGTATATAATTTGATTCCATAATACCATACAGTAACACACTCATCACATATAATTACACAAGCACATAGTTGGCACACAATGTTTCAAAACAATTTCCTAACGGGATTCTAAAGATGATGGACATAGGAAATTACCTTGAGTTGCGCGTAAATCTCAAGGTAAGTAACCTCCGAAACGTTCACCTAGTAGCCTCCGTCTACAAATAAGCAGATAATAATAATAAGTTAGTATGACTCATATAGCTGATACTAGTACATGGATAATTAAGCAACTACTTCTAACGCATTGTATTGATAAGAAAATTTGGAGGAAAGGAATAAAAATTTAATTTATTAGTCAACTATGGCTATAAATTTAGAAGTATAGATGCACTACTCCACTACCACAACTTTTCCCTTCTTAGCCTGCAACCTACGCACCAAACTCCAAAACAAAGCTCTAAAAATGTACTTCAATGGTGTCTTCTTTGGCAGGAAAGATAACAACCATTTATTTTCTAAAAGAAAAAAAAAACTTCCAATTGGGTGGGTAAGACAAGATGTTCAACGAGAGACAAGAAGATTAAAGAAATTGGGTGGGTAAGACAAGAAATCAAGAGAAGGTTCAATCAACATTTCGAATTTGCCAAGCTCAATTCAATACAAGAAAACCGCAGTAAGAAAACTCATAACTTACTGATGAAAGATCAGTTGGGGATGACGATTTGGGCAAAATTGAAAGGGATGGGTATAATTTTATAGTGTTATACGACATATCAGTTTTGGGATTTTGGTTATATAGATTAGAAAACTTAGGTTGAGTTGCTCTAGAGTATTCAGAAGATAAGATCCAATTCAAATTGAGCTGAGTTTGTTGTAACTTCCTATCAAAAGGATCAGCTTCAAATTTTTTTTTTAATTTTTTTTTTCAGTTTTCAAGATAAGTTTCTGTAAATTATCCAAATTCAGTTTTTTTTTTTTAATAATAAATCTGAAAATAAAATTAATAATTATTAAAAATTTTACTATAACATATAAATTTGAAAATAATTATAAATTAAAAAGTTTATTCTAGAAAAATCGTTGATTAAATATACTCAAAAATTTGGGGTATTACACATACAGCCAATTTCGAGTTGTTATCAAAGCTTCGACATGTTTGTGCACGAATGAACTCCTCCACCTATTTAAAACTCTGCCACCCATGCTAAAAGAAGATTCGGAACCAACAGTAGTAATAGGTATCGCAAGAATATCTTTAGCTATACGACCAAGACTTGGGAAAGTTGTTGATTGCTCCTTCCAACAGCCAAAATATCGAATTCCTCATCAACATTACAAGGTTTTAAAGGCAATTCTAAGTATAATTCTAATTCAGATTTACCCATGTCACCACTAGCAACATCAGCAACAAAATTCTGAAATCACAAATAAAAAAGATCAAAACAGAATAACCCAGAAAAGTGATTAACATATTGAATAATGATAATATTTGTCGTTATCTTACCGCATAAACTCTACTAGTCTTGCGTGGACGATATGCATCTGAATTTGAACTACCTTGGGAAGAATAAGTAGGAAGAGGATCCTTGTAATGGTTAAACAGTTGAACGAATTCATAATACACCTCCTGGACTTTTGTTTCAACCATGTGAGCTTCATACAAATCCTTGAAAAGATGTCTCAAAAATTTCAACTTAAACCGAGGATCAAGAATTGTAACAAAAAATAATAACACAGAGTAATCAGACCAATATTTATCAAACTTGCAACGCATAAGATCTGCCATTTTCTTTGAGTTTTGGATCATCCCCTTTAGAAGCAGCCACTAATAGTGACTCAATTCTACAAATGTTGGCAACATAAAGATTGGAGGTGGGATATTCAGAACCGGAAAACAAATTAGTAATGTCATAAAAGGGTTCAAGAAAATCACACATTTTTTCTTCTATTTCCCATTCATGAGCAGTAAGCGCCAAGTGATAATTGCTCTCTATCCTACCGAACATTTTCAACGCCAGTAAAAGATCAAGAGCTCGACGAAGCATTAAGAAAGTAAAATTCCATCTAGTAGGAACATCCATCCATAGCTTTACACCTGTAGCTAAATTACAGCTAGAAACACACCGCTCAAACCTTATAAGTCTAGCTTCAGAAGAATCAACATACTTCACATTCTCCCGAACTTTTCGCAATAGATTCATCAATGACTTTCAAACCTTCTTTGACAATTAATTTTAAGATATGGGCAGAGCATCTAACATGAAAATATTTGCCGTCAAGAGGTAATTTAGCCATTGCATCCAATTCAATTTGGAGTTTCCCAACCATAGAATCCGTATTACTTGCATTGTCAATAGTCATACTACAAATTTTTCTTTCAATACCCCAATCTTTGATCAAACGAAAAACCAGATTATAAATTTCATGACCATTATGGGGAGGTGGAATATGTCTAAAGTTCAGCACCTTAACCGTAATTTCCAGATCATCCACAAAATGGGCCGTAAGAGACAAATAACCACGAGTAGTACAAGTTGTCCATACATCACAAGTCAAGGACACTTTACTTGATAAGGCCTTAAACGTATTACAAACATATTGCTTTAACACATCATGCTCTGTCATGCACCATTTCAATATTGTGTTTCCAGAAATAGTTCTAACCTTGGAATTCAAATATGTATGCAATCCCCTAAACCCCTCATGTTCAACAATACTTAAAGAATAACCATGCTTCAATATAGCTCTAGCAAATAACTTACAGTATTATTTTTGGTCAAATTCAGATGCATTAGACTCATTAGACTTATCTGAATCTTTATATTGTTGGCACCTATCAAGGTGTCTCTTTAGATTAAACGTACCGTTCGTACCACTACAAGAAATAGGTCGGATTCTGACGGACTTAAATTCCGTCGGAAATTTTGAAATTTCCAACGAAATTTGGGTCTGTCAGAAAATTCCGTCGGAAAAGGTAAGTTACGACGGATTTTTTTTCCTTTGGAATTTACAGCTTCTGACGGAATATTACCTCGGAAATTTTTTTCGACGGAATATTCCGTCGGAAGTTGTAAATTCCGAGGGAAAAAAATTCGTCAGAATAAATAAAACAACAAAAAAAAACCAAACCCTGACTCTAGTTCCGACGGAATTTATTTCCGTCGGAAAATTTCCGACGAATTTTGAACCATTTCCGACGGAATTTTGATATTTTTGAAAAAAAAAATCAAATCCTAAAACGGAACTACCCCCCTCCCCCCTTTCATTTCTCATTTCTCTCTCCTATCCTCTTCTCTCTCTCGGCCTCTCTTTCCCCTCTCTTTCTCTCGTTTCTCTTTCTCTCTCCTCTCCTCTTTCCTCTTCTCTGATCCTCTCTTCTTTCTCCTGTTCTCTTTCCTCTTCTCCTTCCTCTCTGTTCTGTCGTCCTCTTCTCCTTCCTTTCTTTCCTCTCTGTTCTCTTTCCTCTTCTCTCTTTCTTCTTCTTCTCCGTTTCTCTCTCCTCAACTCCTCTTCTCTCTCCTCTTCTCCAATTCCACCGTCGCGAGCCAACAACCATCGTCACGAGCCAACAACAACGCAACAACAACAAAGCCAACAACAACAACGGCCCAACAACAACAAAGGCAACAACCACCATCGCGAGCCAACAACCACCGTCAAAAGTGTATATCTAATTATTTTTAATTTGTATGTAATGGTAATGTTAAGTTTATAAATTTTATTGTATATTTATATATTTCTTTTAATTTTCGTTGGTTGATTATCGTTTTTTTTTTTAATTTTTTTAATGAAATTCTGATTAAGATGTAGATCTACTGGTTTTGATTGTTTTGTGTGGTATTTTTTGACTATGTTGTGTGAATTTTCGTATTTTTGGGGTTAATTATCGGTTTTTTGGGTTTTTCGTATTTTTGGGATTAATTTCGGTTTTTAGGGTTTATTTTTGGATTGGTGATGGTGTGTAGTGGTGTCGGTGGTGGTGGGGTGGGGGTTGGTGTGAGTTTGGTGCTGGGTAAGTTAATGGTTGGGGTGGTTTCGGTTTGGTGTGGGTGGGGTTTTGGCTGGGGTGGTTTCTGTGGGGGTTTAGGTGGGTGGTGAGGTGGGGTTTGGTGGGTTAGGGGGTGGCGGTGGGGTGGGTTGTGGTGGTGAGAAGGGGTGTGGGTAGTGGTGGATCTGGGTGGGGTAAGGGTTAGGGGTGGGGCTGTTTTTTTTTTTATTATTGACTTTTCCGACGGAAATTTCCATCGGAAACCTCTCCAACTCCGACGGAAATTCCCGTCGGAAAATTGCGACGGAATTTCGATTAAAGTCAAAACCAGCTCCGACAGAATGAATTCCGTCGGAAATTCTGTCGAAAAAGTGGCTTCCGACGGAATTTCCCTCGGAAAACGTCGAATTTCCTACAAAGGGTATTGCGACAGATTGATTCCGTCGGAAGGCCGTTTTCCGGCGGAAAAATTTCGTCGAAATCCAGTTGTTTTCTTGTAGTGTACCACTATGTTTCTGGATTAATCTTTTGCAAAACTTGCATGCAGCATGTTCACCATTAATCTCAAAATTCTGCCAAATAAGAGATCGCTTTCCTTGAATTGGAGATATTGATTGATGGGGTTCAAGTGTTGGTGTAGCATTTCCAACATTCATGCATGTAATTGATGCTTGCTCAACCTCAAAGTCACCCATTACATCAAACAATTAGGCAAAGATTAGGAGTAAGATCAATAAAAATGCATAATTTATAATTAATTAGAATGACTATACCTCTTTCAGCCGCGTGATCAAATTCATCCTCAGCCATGATAGTTTGACCCCTTTAACACCAAAACATATTAACAGATTAAACCCCTAAAAATTATCAAGAACATCTAAATCTAAAAATTTGCCTAAAAAGTTTTAATCCCTAAAATTATTTAAAATCAAAATGCTAAGCATAATTTTAAAATGTAAAAATTAACAGATTAAACATATAATTTGTCGAAGAACAATGTTGAACAACTATTAATCAGGAAGATTAAATGTTTAGATCTATAATTTATGAGTAAAATTCAATCCTGAAAATTGGACCGATTACTCACTCCATGACTCCTTGTTGAAGGTAGAATATGGGAGTGAGAATTTGAGATTGAGAGTGGGATTGTGTGAGTCTAGGAGACGTCGAGCAGTGGTGAATTATGGCCATGGGTGGATCTCTGAATGTTAGTATATTAGGAAAGCTAGACTCTAATGGCGGCAATGGCGAGATTTGCGATTGAGAATTTTAGTATATTAGGAAAGCTAGACTGTAATGAAGGTAGAATATGGGTGTGAGAATTTGAGATTGAGAGTGAATCACTGATTATATGATTTTGAGATTTTCCAATAATGTTCCCCTTATCACTTTTCTTTTTTTATTTTTTATTTTTTTATTTTGTTAGCTAATTAAGTCATAAAGTATTAAAGTATTACATTTTTCTCCAAATAACTAGCAATTTAGGATTACGACATATCTTTTTTTTTTCCCCTAATTCTATGAGTTATTTTCCTATTTAAGCTTATTCAAATATTTTCAATAAAATTCTCTATTATCAAATGTATTACAATTTATATGTCTCAAAAAAACCTATAAAAATTTATGAATACCACTACTTTTTGGATGCATGTGCATTCTTTATTTAAATTTAGTAATTACGATTTACGAATACTACTACTTTTTAGGTGCAAGTTCATTCTATATTTCAATTAAACAATTATGGTTTACGAATACTACTACTTTGTAGGTGCATGTGCATTAATGTAGTTAATTACGGTTTACAAATACTATTTGACCTTAGGCTTGTTTGTTTTATCTTATATTTTATTTTAAAAAAAAATTTCAAATAAAAAAAGTTAAAAAAAATAAAATAATTTCGGATAATGATTGAATTGAACGTGTTAATGATTGAATGCGAGCATGAGTATGTGACAATGACCCGATGATAATCTGACCCAAATAATTTACCTGTAGCTGATCATGACTTGACTTGTTTGGACTTGAGAAGGTGGTGACCCGAATTAGAGCTTTTAAAAGGCTTTTATTGGTCTTTTATTTTTCTAATTTTATTATTCATTTGCCTATTTTATCTTATTTAAATGTTTTGAATAATGCCATTTAAATATTTTAAAAAAATGCCATTAAAAAAACGTGAACTCGGATATGAACTTATAAAAAATAAACAAGTTTAGATAATTTCAAATAAAATAAGTTTAGAAAAAAAAGTTGTTGTATTTTAACTTATCTAAACTGAACCTATTTTATCCGAATTTATATGAACTTATTATATTTTATCTAAACATGTCATCTCGAATATGAACTTATCTGAAATTGTTATCCCTAAAATGAGTGAAATAAATGTGAATAGATTAGAATAGGGTTTGAACTTATCTTCTAAAAATCTAAACTAAACCTATCTTATCTAAACTTATTAGAACTTATTATCTCGAATTTAAACTTACCTGAAATTATTTCTCTTACAATAAATGAAGTAATTGATAATGAGTAAACATGAATGTCATTACATGAACTATTAACAAACCGACCCAAAAAATGTACCCGAACCTGATATGACCCGACCTGAAATCAACCCGATACCCAGATTAACCCAATATTTGAGGCTCGAACCCGAACATGACCTGACTTGGAAATAATCCGACCTGATTATAACCTGCAATTTTTTGACTTGAACTAAACCCGACTTGAACACGAACATGACCCGACTTGTAAATGACCCGACCTGATTGTAACCCGCAAATAATTGACTTGAACCGAACCTGACTTGAACCCGAGAATGACCAACCTGATTATAACCCACAAATATTGACTTGAACCGAACCCGACTCAAACCCGAGAATGACCCGACCTGATTATAACCCGCAAATTATTGACTTGAACCGAACCCCCGACTCGAACCCGAGAATGACCCTAACCCGTTTTAACCCGAAATAAACCCGACCTATTATTCACCCAACCCGAATGTAACCCGACCTGTTATTAATCCGACCTAAACCCGACCCAAACCCGAAAAGATGTATGACCCGACGTTACTCGACTTAAGCATGACCCAACCCGAACCCGATTAATATAGGTTACGACATTAACCCGAAATGACCTGACCCGAGTTGACCCGACCCACACTTACCCGACCCAAACCCGACCCATTTACCCGAATTGACAGGTCTAATAATATATTAGATTAGATTAGATTATTATTATTATTGATATTTAAAACATGTTTACTTAAAACCTTTATAAAGTCCACCTGTCTCATAATTAGACGATCATATAAAGACCCGCCCATTTATTTATCAGACGGATCTAACCCATATTATAACTATGGCGGGTCATGGCTTTTAAAGGCCTCATCCCTATTTCCTACCTCTCTGAGTTATTTCATTGAAGCGCACTCAACGTTCTCCATTGAAGCGTTCTCCGTTGAATCTAATTCTTGTATCCCCCATTGAAGCAGCTTCTAAGGTAAATTGTTTTTTGTTGTTATCATCACATCAATTTCACAATCTAGGGTTTATATTTGTTCAAATCTAATTTAATTATCAGTGCTTTAAGTTTAGGGTTCGTAAATTCTTAGATTATGAAACATCATATCCAAAAGAAAAGAAAATTATGAGCGTAATTTGATTATTGAATCAAATATCCCTAAAATTATGTATTTTTCGAGATAATTCAATATGAAATTAAATCTCTTTTCTCTGGGCCTAGGGCGGCCGCCCCTCCTGCCCTGCCTCAGGGACTGGCCTGTTCTCCAGTTCTCCTATATGCTATTTGAATTGTAGTTGTGTTGAATACTTGAGTTGTTGATTACTTGATTTATAATTGCAATTTGATATGTTGTTTGTTAATTTATATGCTTGCTGACTGATGTGTTGCTCATAATTTGCGTTTGTTTCAATTGTAAATTCTTTAACTAACTGATAAAACCAATGATGTGACTCATTCTTTTCTATGTGAAATCCATTGTATTAAATTATGAGTTATCCATGGGTTACAACTTATTTAATTAATTTTTACAATTCAGGTCTATGGATTCTGCAGACACTCTTCTTTGTTTCACAGAGTCTCTTGAAGCCTTCTTAGATAAAGATAATTTTAATGGTGCTCTACCGTTTGTCGTAGACCACATCGTTCGATGCATGGAAGAAAATGGTGAGGCGACTAAGGGAACAAGTCTTGTTGTTGTCCTGAATACTGTTGCCTCTGATTTTCCAAAGTTGAACCTACCCTCAAATCCGTTGCATAGACTAGAGTGTTTGGTCAACAACCTGCTTTCAAATGGCATGGTAGTAGATGCCCTAAAGCTCACTAGTGCACCGTATCCGTCTGCGTTAACTGTTCCTGTTTTGGAGCTCAAGCTGAGAATATTTTTCCATGAACAAAATATGGAGGGTAATTACTATTACTAACTTTTTTTTTATTATTATTTTTCTAAATTATTATTGATTTTTTGATTTGTTTATTTTATTTTATAGAGTTTTGGAAGATTTTTCGGGCTTGGGAAGTCCACAACATGTATGCATATGCAGAAACTACATTTATTTTGGGGTAAGATTTCCCCCTCCCTCTACGATATTCTTTATGGGGTCAAGGACTTTGTTTTTATTTTTTGAATTAAGCTTTCTTGAAACCTTTAGTCAGCATATGCATTAACGACATCAATGAAAGAAATTAAGAAAAAAAAAGTTTATGATCTTTGTTTTAAATTGGAAAATTACACTAATATGAACGATGATTCCACTTTTGGTTCATGTTAGCTGACCCCACTTATGGGACTAAGGCTTTGATTGATTGATTCCCAAACTTGCCCTTCTCCCCACTATTCAGCTCCTAGATTGTGTTTTCTGTTTTATTTATTTATTTATTTCTTTAGGACGAGCTTTATGAATTTAGAAGATGAAGGATATCTGGAGAAGTCTATTGACTATTTTAGCAAAGGGATTTCTATGGCTAAAATTCATGAACAACAATCTTTGTTAGAAAAATTGGAACAGCAGCTATGTGAGGCAGAAAAAAAGAAGGTTAAATTTCAGCAAGCTTTCGAGGAAGCAAATAGACATGGTACTATCTCAATCTATGAAAATAATCAACAATAGAGCTGTCAGTTTTATCTCGTTCAAAATTGCTTGATTTGACTGAAACTGTAACTCACCGAACTGAAAATCAACTCGTAGTTCTAAAAGCGTGTGCCTAGGCACAAGGTGAAGATACCTAGACAAAGCGTAGGAATTTCGTGTGTCATTTTCTGCACTTTTTGTGAATGTTGCTAGATTTGAGCGATAAAGTGAAAAATTATCAAGATTTCTGTCGTGGCTTTACATATTTATTTCATACAAAACCCCCAACTTAATTGCATTGAAGCCTCAATTAAAAATCCCCAATTTGGGTGAAACCCTGAATAAAGTTGGGTGGCAAACTTCCAAATCAACAGTTGTGCACCATCGAATTTCTGATGCTCGTGTCTTGAATTTGGAAGTTGTATGTTTAAAGATGTTGCTCCTTGTTTTGCTTCAACTTCTATGATTAATAGTACTAGTTGCTTTCTAATTTCTTCACGGTTTCTAAACATAACCTTACTTTACTTTAAATGTAATCCAAAATTTCAATTACCCCTGTAATAAGGATTTTGTTAGACTTTTTCTCTCTATTCCTCCCCCAAACCCTTCTCTTTGGGGTTAACTTTCATCAAATTTAAACGTCAATTTTCATCATTCAACAATCAATCTTATTCCCTTACTATCAATTTTCACTTGTTTTAATCAGAAAAGGGTGAGTTGGGGATCCTAATTTGCGTTGAATCTTGCCCATTGAAGTTTTTGAATTTGTGAAATACTGCTACCTTTTATTATGGTAATTGAATTGGATAACCTTGTTCGCATTTAGGAATCAAAGATTCAAATTTAGGGGATTCAAATCTTGGCATTGCAGATTTCTTTGTGTTCGTAGTTGTGATAAAGTCACTTGTTCTACTTCATATAATTGAGTTAAATTATGTTGTGTCAATTCATGTAGATGGGCTAAAATAGTTATGTGAAATCACTTAACTGCTATGAAATGGAGCTGCTTTTTCATATAATTTGATCGGAGTTTCTTGCTATTTCTTTTGGCCCATGTGAAGTACTAATTTTATTTCATATGTGCTGTATGAAGTTGTGAATGTTGGTTGAACGTGAATCCCTTTTCTAAAGAGGTTTTACAAGTTTCTTTTTTTTTTTAAATAACAATTGTATTTTAGACATTTTAAATGAACAATATCTAAAATTTTCGGGAATACTAATCTTGTTTGTTTTGTGATCGTGAAAATAGAAAGAGAACTCTTGGATGAAGAGGCCAGGATCGCGGCGGAGGCGGGAAAAAGGGAGAAGAAACGAGAAAAGAAACGAGAAAAGAGGAAAGGAAAACAAATTGCTGAAGGGTCCAAGAAAGCTGTGGAGACCAAAGATGAGGGGACCAAAGATGAGGGGACCAAAGATGAAGGGACCAAAGATGAGGAGACCAAAGATGAGGGGACCAAAGATGAGGGGGGTACAGGGGAAATCATACCTTTGGTTGAGGAAAGAAGACCTCGGAATGTAAGTTGGTTTATTTGGCAATATTTTAGCATAGGAAAATTAAACTAGTTAGAACTAACATGTTTTTGAACAACACTATTTGCAGTTCGAGATTCCTTTTTCTGTTACTATGGAGTCAGCTGAAGATTCTTTTGTAGGGTGTATAAGGACTAACACCACTGGAGTCCAAAAATCATTTATTGTAGTTGACCAATCACAGATAAACTACTTTCAGGATCTTGTTTATCTATGTCTCAGGCATGAGACTCTGTTGAAGGTTGACCAAAGTTTTATGGATGAAGGTAGATATTTTCTTGTGACAAGTGAGAATGTATGCACCATTTACTGCTTTTTTAAGCGTAAACTTTGCATAATTTCTCCTGAATCAAATAAAGTATGGTGGAATGCTATAAAAGATTCATTTTGGAAAGTATTCAGGTATGAAGTAATAATGTGTTAAATTGTTTTTGAGATATTCTGTTTGTTATGGGTGTTTTACAGCTTAACCTTATTTTCTTTTGTTTATTAAAACTAGAGGCGTGATTCGAGGGTTGATGTATTTGTTCGACAAAGACAAAGCCTGCGGGAATTTAGTGTTTAATTCTTTTGTCAATTCTGAAGGGGAAGGCAGAATTCTGCCATATATGGCTTCGGGGAAACAAAAACAGGACTTGGTACAGCTAGTAGATTTAATGCAGAGTGTTATCAAACTTGCTGTTCCCGACCAAAGCGATATTTCTTTTCTTCCCGATCATTTGAAACAGTTTTTTGACAATGTCACACAATTTCATGGGTAAGTTTTTATGCATCTAGAAGCTTAAAATCCTGGTAGTTTGTCCGTCTTTTTTCTGCATTTTGGTTTAAGATTTGTATTTTTTTTTTATAATGTACTCTTTTTTTCCATAGGTCCTGTCCATTGGAGATTGTTATTGATCACCCGTATTTTTGGAATACGGCGGAAAAAATCAGCTTTACCTTCAAATTGAGAGAGTTGGTTAAGCAGAATCCTAATCCTTTTTTATTGTATCTTAATAAAAATGAATTATACCAAGACTGGTGGGATAGTCTTCAACATGTATATAAAAAACTTTTTGAAAATGCGAAAAAGCGCAAGCGGATTATCAAAGCATACCGGAATGCTATTGATATTGTCCGATTTTATGGAGCAGTTTATACTCATATAAATGAGTTGGAGTACAAACAAGATCGAAATAACAAGGTTTGAGCATCTTTTGTTTTAATTTGCTATACATCCCAATGCCTTAACCTTTTATCTGACATTTTTTCATTTTTTTTTTTGGTAGAGATTTAGTGATGAAAAGATCGAGTCAGATTTGGCAGGTTTTTTTCCAGATTTTTATGTAGACATGTTTTCGGTCTTGTGCTCGTGCTACCAGAATAATGTGTAAGCGACAACTTGATTTTGTTTAAAAAGTTCCACAGTTGACAGATTCTAATTTGTACTTTTTACATCTTGTGTTAGGGTCATAACCAATGACAGTCTGAGGGGTTTATCCACAGTTCATTCTTTCAGTGAGTTTTTAAATTATAGTCACTATCAGCAAAAGCCTATTTTGCCTCTCTCACCTTTCTTTTTCTGTCTGTCGCTCGCAGGAGGGAAGTAAAAGGAGCAGGATTCTGCCACGAGTGGTGAGTTATTCTTGTACTCCCAAGGTTATTTGAATTGATAGTTGATGATGTGACTGAACTGCAAATTTATAATAATTCTTGGCACATGAGCATAGACTGGAAAACATTTGTGAGATTTCTGGGCTTAATTAGATGAGGTGTCAACAAAAAATGAACAAAAGTGTATTGAGTTTACTCTGTGTGTAGAAATCAGTCAACAAAAGTGTATGGAAACCAGTGTATCTCACCAATTTTGGAAAATGATTTTTTTTTTTTCTCCGAAGTGTAACATTGAGTGTATGTTCCTGTTGTAGAACTATTGAGTATCCAAAAATGGGTACTTTTCATGAAATGTGGAGTTTAAAACATTACTTAAAAATAGCTATTCAGAAGCACCAGCCACCAGGCATACTCTGCTGTGTCCAGAGTCAATTAGAACCACCTGTACATATAACGTCCAATGTATAACTCAACAGTCATCTGAATTAGTAAATTAATGGGTTTTATCTTTCGGTTGGATGTAAATCTGGTCATCTTAATTCAAGTTTCAGTTCTGAGAATGAAAAAATCTGAGAAACTACAAGTTTAAATTTGATTTGATTTGAATTCAATTTGATTTTTATCTTGGGCATTGCCTAAGCATTGCTGGACTTTAAATTGATGCCCATGCTGTGCTAATTGGTAAGTTTTATTGACAATGATAAGTTGGTTGTATAAAAACTTCCTTTTTTCTGTTAAAAACTCCTTTTCTAGATAGAGATCCTGTTGTTTACATGGCCCTTGATAGAGTGTAACTATAATGTAATTTGAAATACTGCAGGAAGCTGTTGCTGTGACAACTGCAATCCAAGAGGAGATATTCTTAGAAATAGGTGTTGGTTAGTTTCTTTATAATCATTTACTCTGTTGGTTTCACCAGCTTTTTGCATTCTTCCCACATATTTGTGATATTAACCTATGAGGGGTGAACTAACTATGTCAATAAATCTGCACTCTTGTGCAGTTGTGCTAGTTCTATACATTGACCTTAGCTGTGATCTGTTAGGAGAAAGGATTTAAATAAGCCATAAATGTTAATATTAGATAATCAGAATGGTCTATTGCTATGATTTCTGTATGCTGTTTCACTTAGCTATTTTTTAAGCTATTTGCTTTGAGCTTTCACAATTTATTGCTAGTGTTAGGCGCTTTTTTGCATAGGATTATCATTGAAGCTTTTTTTTTGGAAATAAACCTAATTGAGCCTCATTTCTTGCAGTTTGTGGTTTAAAAATAGACTTATCTATGTCCTTCGGCATTTGAAGGTAATACTTTTTTTAGTTTGAATATTTAGAAATTATAGTTTAATTTCTGCTGTTTTTTTTTTCTTCTTATGATTAACTAATATATTGTTATTTTATATTTTGTAGGGTTGTTGACTTGCCGTACACTCGTACTTTGTTGATCCGTTATTGGTATCTGGCGTTGAGGACTTATTTAGTGTTTGATAAAATGTTTATGCACCGTTAACAATTGGACATTAATGTTTTTTGGACTTCAAATTTTTTTATGTAATTTGTACTTTGTTGCAATTAGCCAATTAGTTTGTATATTGAAGGTTGTGTATAATTTTATTATGTAATATGAAAATTAGTTGTTGGACAATAATTTTAGGTTTATTTTATCTCTCTTTGTTTAGATTATGAATTAATTGTCTACATAGTAAAAAAGGTTCAACAAGACATTAAAAGGGTGAAAAAAATCAATTTTACCTTACAAAAAACCTGCAATTAAAGAACTCGGATATAGGATATCCGATTTATCCGATCCGAAAATTTCGGATATCCGGATTTTCGGATATCCGATATTTTCGGATCGGATATGGATATCAAATATCCGGATTTTCGGATACGGATATCCGATTCGAAATTCAGTTTCGGAAGTTGTTAACAAATGTAAGCGGTGTATCAAAAATATTAGTATTACCTATAATATAAACAGGAACATTATAATGTTTTACATTTTTGCATTGAGCGCGTCGGGCACGAAAAATTTTGATAGTTATTTTTGCGTTACACTTAATTTGCAACAAAGCTGTAGTTTATGTTTGCATACACTCCTGTAAGAGGAGAGATAGTGAAGTCTTTGAATATTAAAGAATCTGAAAAATTAAGCCCTTATCTTGGATTTCCATTGCTTGATGACTTGATGGTAGAACTACCAAATCTAAAGTGCAGTTCTTTGTTGATAAGGTTAAACAGAAGCTGGGTTGGAAAGCTGCTTGTCTTTCTAGGGCTGACTTACTCTTCTCAAGTCTACTTCAAACACCATTCCCAACTATTTCATGCAGTTATTGTAGCTATTGTGGCTTCCTGCTTTTTCCAAAAAGGAGATTAATAGATTAATGGCTAACTTTTTGTGGGGGAAGAATGAGGAAAAACAGAGAATCACTTAGTTGGAAGAGAATTAGTACCCCCACTACTAGAGGAGGTTTGGGCGTGAGATGTTTGGATTCATGGAAAGAGGGGACAACTTGGCAGCTAGATTCCTGAGAGATAAATATTTGAAATCTGATTGATCTTACAAGGCCTTTTCAAATGGCTCACATATTTGAGAGGTATGGGTAGAATGTGGGAGAGCTACCTTTCAACAATCTGCTGGAAAGTAGGTAATGGAGATAAAACTTTTGTGTGGACTGATAAGTGGCTCAATGGGAATTCACTTACGACAATTTTGGCAGGCCCACTGTTACAACATGATTCTACCTTAAATGTGAAGGGTTGTATTACCTCAAACTGCTGATATGATAACATGAGTTCATATCCCTTAGCTCCTGATATCATGTTGCAGTGTAAGGCTAATATGGATATGGGAATGTTGGATGATTTTAGCTATTCCAGTTTAACTATAGATGGAAAATTTACTTTCCATTCAGCTTTTCCGCTTCTAAACTCCAAATTTAGTGATGCTAAGGATATCTCTTGGATATGGAAACTTCATTGTGCCCCTATAATTAATCTTTTCACTTGGCTTGCAGTGTTGGATAGACACCCTACTTGTAAAATTCTCTATTAGAGGGGTATTACATCTTCTGAAACTTGTGCCCTATGCCCTGGTGTGACTGAAAATGCAGAGCATGTTCTCAGATCCTGCTTTAGAGCTAAGGCTTTCTGGTCTTTAACCTTTCATAATGCAAATCCTTCTTTCCTTCACTCCCCACTAGTAGAGTGGTTGTTTTTAACTCTAAACCTACACACATCTACCCAAATCAACATCATCTCACCCTGCTTCCCTGGCATATTCTCTTCCCCTATGCTTTGTGGTCTCTTTGGCTTCAAAGGAACGATGTAATCTTCTCTAATTTACATAAAATCTTGAAATTTGTCTTCACAAAGCTCAAGCTCTCGCTTGAGAATTTTTCTCCTGCCAAGACCAACCTTTTACTCTCTCTTTGTCTCCATCATCCCCCACTATTCGCTGGCAGCCCCCCCTCCAGGTTTCTTGAAGTTGAATGTGGATACTTCCTTTGTGGAGTCTACTAAACCTACTAGAATTGTTGAGATTCTCAGAAATGAGCAAGGATTTTGGATAAATGGTTTTTATAGAACTTGTTATGCTAATTCTGCATTATGTGCTTAACTTTTATGTATCATGGAAGGCCTAAAACTATTAGAAGCCAAACAGTTGTCTGATTTGTGTCATGTTACAATTGTTACTGATTGTCAGAGCTACATTATTACTACTTCAAGATTTTAGTGTGAAAGAACTTCATTCAAATATTGTGAAATATTGCAGGGAACTACTTCAACAGATGCAACAAGTGAAGATAGTGTTTAGTAGAAGAGAGGAGAACAAACCTGCTGATTGATTGGCAAAGCATTGTAGGAAGAATTATCATAATGTAGGAACTTGTGTAATAATAGATAATTCACCGGCTGAGATTATCCATGTAATTCAAGAGGATTACCCTCTTCACTTCTATACTTAAGACTCTTTGTTTAATCTAAAATTTCCTGCTTAGCATAAAAAAATACTATCTGACTGATTTTAAACCGTGATTCCTGCTGAACATTTGGTTGATTATGGGTCTGAAATCATTCCGGTTTCATATCGTTATGTTAGCCGGCCAATCACCTAAGAAAAACTGCCACATGACAGGGGTGGTTGGCTATGACTCCTGCCGTCCTGGAGTCTTGGCACCTTAATTATACCGAAGAGAAGAAAACCATTACCACTTATTTTCTTAATACTTTATGCTAAAGCCACACATAATCCATGTTTACTTCTTGCAAACATGTTAAAAAAAATTCGTCACACATCACAATTTATGGCAAGATAGTTTAGCAGCATTAAAAATATAATGTTGACTTTCCATGTATGTTTATTATCACAAAACTTAATCTTTAACAAATGAAAATATGTTTGAATATAAGCAACGACACTTTAATAAAACTGAACATACTACCCAACTACTATATTATTGCATGACATGTTTACTTGCAGTGCAACAGTAACAAGCATAACATTCACACTGACAAAAAATGGCATTACAAATCAAACTGCGATGTAAGAAAAAGATAGATGAGACTTTTTACACTCAAACTGCGATGATATAGCCAATAAAATGTACTATCCTCCTCCTTGGGCCTGGAAAGGCTGGATTAGGACCTGAAATTTGACAGCACAATGAATCATGAAAATCGAGGATTCGAGTTTGAGTAAGATTTCTACATATATTCGAAATGGCTATAATCAAATTTTAAATTTCCCTCCATTTCTAATATTTTCCCCACACTAAATAATATGTAGTCAAATTTGACAATTTTAATTTTATTAATAAAGAATTATATGTTCCACGTTCGTTCTTGTTTAGCATATATCAAATGTGTATTGTTGTAATATTATTATTGTCATTTTCTATTAGTATCTCCAGCTAATATATGATAAGATTTACCTGAAACTCTGCAATTATCTATGGCTCATACTTGTACGCTTCAACTCGCCTCTATGAGTTGTCAGCGCATCAAATACTTCCCCATCATACATAGATCTTTCATCTTCCTCGTCTATAACACTGAGCTCCGGTTCCTGCTTTTGCATCAAACGAGTATCTTACAAATCATACTGTGTAAATTATAAGGGAATGTAAAACATGAAAGTAACTGTTGAGGTTAATTCAACAAATTAAGAGGAAATTTTGAATTCTTTCTTTAGGGAATTTCTTAGCTAAATTGACTTCAAGAAAAAATGGATGAAACCATGTGAAAACAGACTACAGAATAGTTTAAGCAAAATAGACCTAGAACATTTTGCACTACATTTGTTCATACAATATTTTATTTTGTAATCCTCTGATTTAGCGAACTGAACACTACTCAAAAGAACAACATATAATTGCTTTCTTCAAACCAATATATGAAATAGTACACAATTCCATAGGCCACATTAAGATACTACAAAGTAAATACTAGTATAGTAGTATATGTTAATCAAGGATTTGTGTAGCCTAATCATCATGTGGTGCTCCCAATAACACTATTTGCATGAATCTCGATATGAATATGCATATCATTTGAATTCTGATTTGAACTTGACTCTTATCAGACAATTGCTTATAGACAAACTGCGTGTATGGCTAGTATTATCATTTGGAGCACAATACTCAGGTGTAAGATATAATTTACGCATGTTAACCCACCTAAAGCCGGTAGTTAGAAGCTAAACAGTCGATTAGCTACACAATCTCTGTAACTACTTCATGATGCAAAATCTAGAGATAAAACAGTTCTCAGCAGATAGAAACCGTTTGTATAGTCTACAGATTGCATTTCATCACAAGTATTTCTAGGAACTTCTCTAGTGTAGCAGTAAAGAGTAGGAAAATAGAAACTAACCACTGTTGGCATGTCTGTTTCCGGAGAGCAAATTATCTCCTGATATTCGGCTAAACAATCCTGCAAAATTAAAGATATAAAGATTGCAGATCATTAGTTCCAACATCCATATATTGAGGAATATGCCATGTTGATATTGCAAGACAAAACTCATATTCATTTCCCCTCAGAGTACAAATAACCTATTGATTAAACAAAATATTTTCTTTCTGGATTTCAACTTAGAATGATAAAGCATACTTTTATGAACACGTTTAGTCTTTCTCCACTGTTCACGGGCATCCAAGGTGCTCCAATGACTTCTTCATACTCAGCGGCATCAAGTTCTTGAAGATACTCAGAAGGAAATATCTTGGGGAGCATGTATTCTCTAATAGGTATTAGGAAGAAGAATGGCATAGGGAAAAAAAATCCCTACTATTGGTATCCATGTCCCTCCAAAGCAGAATAGGAAATATACTAATTGGAACACTGTAGATGTCATGGTGTACTTGATGGCACTGATTCCAAATATGAACCATGGCTGTCTTCTAAGACTCTGCAAGATATCATTTGATAGAAGAATATACACACAAATATGTTTTTTAGTGACTTAGTGTGAAGATTTTGAATATTCAAAATGTTATAAGATCAAGCTTTGGTAATGGATTAGAACCTACAATCATATTCTACATGAGGCCAAAACTGGAAAAGGCTAAAATGGATTCAACTCAGAAACTGAAACACCATACTTTTATTGAGGAGGTTAACTTACTTGTATCGACGTTTTCGGGCAACCAATAGGAG